ACACTTACAAATTTGCTCATTGAAGACAGAAAAATCAAGAAATGCATATTACCCTGATTTCTTCTTTGAATGAGGAATAAAAATCATTACTACTGTTTAAGTAAATAAAAATGAGTAGTTCACTTCCACATGTAAACATTGTTTGAACTAACACAATTTGATTATCAAACATTTGTAAAATAGTAATGATCATAGAGAATTGTCTTTTCCACTTGATTAATTCAAGAAAGAAAGTCTCAGGATGGGTCAAACTGTATTTCTGGATTCAAATCAATGAAATGACAGTTTCTGTCCATCTGGTCAGTTTTGACATAGGCCTAGTCCACTACACATCTGATATCTCCCATCATCAGAAAACTGTATCCACTGCCATTAGGAATGCCCATCCCAGAGTTTAACTGGGACAAGAACATGGAGCCTCGTGAGTTTATAGAACAAAGTAAGGATGCTTGGTTGAAAATCACTGGTAGACATGCACAATCCGAACAACAAAAAACGTATTTTAGGAAGGCTGTACTTGATGGTTTGCCTAGTGACGTTGTAGATGACCTCGAAAAAAACGCTGACTTGCTTGCAGCTGATGCTGAGAGGTGGGAGAGACATGTGGTACATCGTCTTAAATATGCTAAAAAACAGAGAGAGAAGGAAGCAAATGAGTTACAAGACATGAAAAATCAGTTGGTTAAGCTTAAATTGAATGACGCCAGACATAAAATAAATGAGGAGAAAAAAGTGAAAGAGAAAAAACAAATGGCGGTTCAGGAGGGTGTCGAAACCTCCACACCAGGGGTAGTTGCTGTGCAACAGTGGTCTGAAACATCTGGTCTGCGGGCCAGAGGGGGACATCCAGCCAGGGGAGCTGGACGAGGGAGAAGGGGTGGCGGTGCGGCGCAGAGGGGTTGGGGACGTGGCGTCTCATGCTGGGGATGGCGGGGGGATGCTTGTTTCCTCTGTGGTCAGCAGGGGCACTGGGCTAGAGATTGCATGTACCTAGGCCCACCTCCCCACCAGCCAATGTGGGAACAACAGCCGTACCAGCAACCTATGAGAGGCCAAAAACAATACCAGCAGCAGGCAGAAGTGCCCCCTCAGATGCAAGGAGGGAGGGGCTCGCAAGAGCAATGACACGACCCACAGAAAATCCTATATGCTTGGGGAGGGGCGGACCCAATGCTCGATGTCGAAGTGAGAACTGACACATTGCCGTTTCTAGTCGACACTAGAGCGACATTTTCAACAATCAACCACACACCACCTGGCTGCCAGATGTCACAGCAGTCAGTAGAGGTTGTTGGATTTTCTGGGGTAAAACAGAGACTGCCTGTAACAGTTCCCCTTACTACTAAAGTGGGAACACAAACACTGGCCCATCCTTTTGTGATTGCAAAAAATGCACCAGCGAATCTCCTTGGGAGAGATCTTCTCATAAAGCTTGGAGCATCCATTCTTTGTGCACCTGATGGACTGATTGTCCGGCTCCCGGATGGAACCATCTTGAACTGTGGCCAGGTCACCATTTCCCACTCTCAATGTGTGATCCAACCCGTCAAAGACGAGTATGCTGACATTTATTGGGGGCTGATTGAACCTGAGATCCCTGGGGGAATGGGTGTTTTCTCTGCGTACCTGGCGTGGGAGCTGTGGTTCCGGACTCTTGAGCCATACACGCCGATCTCAGATCCCTTACATGTAACCCTCTGTTATGACAGAAAAGGTGACGAGGTTTTTCAGGATCACTTTGCAGAGCAACTACAAGGGAAAATCTGGTCAATTAAAACGGGTAACATTTATGCGGGAAAACAAGGGGTGGCAGCTATTGTAAACTTAACTCTAGACCAAGAAGCTTGGTATATGATGAGCACAGAAGCAGTGCCTCACATATCACTGGGCTTAAATCCAAAATATCAAGCTAAAGATTTGGGTCCAATGGTAAAAATGGTTTCAGAAGCAAGAGACTGGGTAAAAACAGCTGTACCACATGTCTGGTTCTCGCCTAGCTGTAAGTGTTATTAAGTGGATTCTGAAGCAAATGATGTAGCTTTATTACAACACGATGTCCTCCCCATGGAGCATGGACATGAACAGACTGACCACCTGCTCGCGTGTCAGTTGATGGATAGAATGCCTGAATCTTTATGGTCTGCAGGACCCACGGATGTGGGACTGACAAACTGCACTCCCGTATCATTTCAGGTCCAAAACACATGTCCCATTTGGCTAAAACAATATCCACACAAACCCGTAGCTGAAGAGGGAATTTCTGAAACTATAAAGGGGTTAAAACAAAGTGGGGTCTTGGAACCCTCATACTCTGATTGGAACACACCAATTTTACCTGTACAAAAGCCAGGTACAGGCAAATTTCGTATGGCACATGATTTGAGAGCCATAAATAAACTACTGGTCACGCCCACCGTGCCAGTACCGAATCCCTATGTGGCCTTAAGTAACCTGACCCCAGAACATGAATGGTTCAGCTGCCTGGATCTCGCGAACGCCTTCTTCTGCCTTCCCCTCGCCGAAGAATGTAGAGACATATTTTCATTCATATATCGTGGAGAAAAGTTGCGATATACGAGACTGCCGCAAGGGTTTGCGCTCTCACCGGGGATTTTCAATCAAGTGTTAAAACAAGCTCTGGGCAATATAGAACTGCCACAGGACACGGTGCTTGTCCAGTATGTTGATGATTTGTTAATCGCAAGTCATACTGCACAAGACTCGTTACAAGCCACCGAAGCCGTGTTGCGACAGCTACATGCCTCCGGGTTTAAAGTAAGTAAAAATAAACTCCAAGTGACGCGAAAACAAATATCTTTCCTAGGGAGAATTATCTCTCAGAAGGGAGCAGGCCTTTCTTATTCACACCGCGACACCATCCTACATCATCCAAAACCGCGGACAGTGAAAGAAATGCTGTCATTTTTGGGCCTGACAGGTTACAGCAGAAATTACATCCCAAACTACACTGGCCTAACACAAACTTTGCGCGCCTTGGTCAAACAAAAAGGAATGAGAAACCTCACAGCTCCATTGGACTCGACTGAGGAGGCTGAAAGAACATTTATTGACATAAAACAACATCTCAGCAGAGCAGCCGAGTTAGTTCTCGCTGACTACGGAAAACCCTTCTATTTGGATGTTTCTGAAACAGGAGGAGTGATAAATGGTGTCTTGTTTCAGAAACATGAGGGGGGTAGGACAACATTAATGTATGTTAGCGTTATGCTAGACAACACAGAAAAAAGACATCTGCCGTGCACACAACATGCAGCAGGTCTGGCCAAACTGATTCAGAAAACAGCTCATCTGGTGATGGGACATTCTCAACATGTGTTGACCTCACACAGTGTAGTTGCATATGTTAACTCACAAAACTTCACTATGTCACCATTAAGACAACAGCGTATAAACAAAATCTTGGAAGCACCAAACTTGTTGTTTACTCATGAAGGGGTTAACATGGCAGACAGAGTAGGCACTGGGGAACCACATGCATGCCAAAAGAGGGTGGAGAGAGATGAGAAGGTTAGACCAGACCTAGAAGCTGCACCTCTGGAGGGGGGACATGTTCTATTCAGTGATGGTAGTTGTTTCTGTCAAGAGGATGGACAGCTCAGTGCTGGCTACGCGGTGGTACATCAAACAGACCAGGGGTATGAGACAATAGTTCAGGAGAGACTGCAGGGAGCTCAGTCAGCACAGAGGGCTGAGGTAAGGGCCCTAATCGCAGCCCTACAGTGGGCTGAAGGAAGAAAAGTCACCATTTTCATTGACTCAGCTTATGCTTTTGGAGCAGCGCACGTGGAGCTGGCTCAGTGGATGAGAGGAGGTTTTTTAACAGCAAATGGAAAGTCAATTAAACATGAAAAAGACATGAAAGAACTAGCAACAGCATTGATGTTACCTGCAAAGGTAGCCATCGTAAAGTGTAAAGGACATGACACAGAAACATCAAGCACGGCCAGAGGAAACTCTCAGGCCGACCAGGAGACCAAGAGGGCGTCGGGCTACATCACTGGGAGTCAGATGATGCTTGTTACAGCGGAAGAGGAATGTGGAATGAGATGGGATGCTGAAACGGTAGCCTGTTGTCAACAAGGAGCAGCTCCATAGGAGAAATCAGTGTGGATTGAATATGGTGCTGAACAAAAGGAAGATGGACTCTGGACAGGACCAGGAAACAGCGGATGGGTCCTACCATTGACTTTAAAGAGGAGTTTTTGAAGAAGCACATGGTTTGGCTCATGTGGGGGTACACCAGATGGGAAAAAATGTACTTAATTGGTGGCACCCTCACATGAAATCTATGATTAAAGCATTTGTGAAAAGCTGCACTGTGTGTAATTTGTATAACTCTAAACCAACCATTAAGACACGTGAGCAAGGGAAATTTCCAATAAACATGACACCGGGTCGGGAGATAATTATTGATTACACAGATATGATTCAAGCGATACGAGGATTCAAATATCTGTTGGTTTGCGTGGATGCCTTCACGGGGTGGCCAGAAGCTTGGCCTGTGAAAAAAGAGGACAGTCAAACAGTCGTTAAGTGCTTGATATAAGTGCTTGATAAACCATTATATACCGAGACACGGGTTTCCAACTAAAATAAGGTTGGATAATGGAACACATTTTAAAAACTCAGATCTTCAGAAGGTTGAAAAAGCATTAGGATTGAAGCATGCTTTTGGGACAGTTTACCACCCTCAATCTCAGGGTAAGGTTGAAAGATTAAACAGAAACCTCAAACAAAAAATATCAAAGATCTGTGCACAGACTCATTCCAATTGGCTTGACTCATTGCCTATAGCACTCATGGGCATTAGAGCATCAATTAATAGGGGTACAGGTTTCACCCCTTATGAATTAACAACAGGAAGGTTTTTCCCTGGGCCTCAGCAAAATCTCGAGTGGCCCTCGGAACAGGTAATGAACATGTCACACGAGATGTATTATAACACACTCAGAGCTTTGTTGTCCAACTTTGCTCAACAGATTCCAGATTCTAGTACTCCTCAGGAGGAGGAGCCGGCGAGTCTCACTTCAAACTGGGTCCTGCTGAGAGTGGTGAAACGTAAGTGGACGGAACCAAGGTGGACGGGGCCGTACGAAATCAAAGACCGTACCTCACACGCAGTACGTCTGAAAGGAAAAGGCTCCACGTGGTTTCATCTCAGTCAATGTGCACCTGCTGAAGAACCCCACCGCTCGCTGAAAGAAGTTGAAGCAGACCTGCTGGAATTGTAGGAGTAGAGATCCCCACGGCATCTGGAGGAGGTGATCTGAACTTTGTGGGAGTTCATTCTTTGCCCCTTGTTGAAAAAGGCAGCAGCAAAATTTGGAGAAGGAGTCTCCGCTCTGCCTAAGTCGGTCAGACAGGTGGAACGGGGAAGGAAAGAAGATTCCCAGCCCTGACCGTGAAGAAACAAAGACGCGACACACTGATATAGGTTTGACCCATCTGCACACACAGTCATTTAGAACGTCTGCTCAGACTGATAAAGTTTCTGAGGACTTTACATGAAGACATCTCCGCGGGCCGAATCCCGCTGAGCACCAAAAGGACCCTTGTGGACAAACAAGGACTCCCACCGCAAGCTCAAGCACAGAAAACCTGCTAGCTAGGAGTGTTTAATGAGTGTTTATCTTTTCTTTCAGTCATTCTGAGGAAACAAACCAGAGCTTTTAAAAGGGTTGGTGAATTCAATTGAGAATTCTAAATATTCAAAATTTTACTTTATTCAATTGAACAACACAATCATTCTAAAATTCTTCGAGGTATTTTAAAGAGAGGTCAATCTTTTGGTATTTCTCAATTTTCAGGGGTCAATTTTGGCTATTTTTGAGTGTTTTATGTGTTGCTTTATAACTAGTGGTTTAATCGTTTACTCATTTTGAATTTAATCTTCCAGTAGTTTGGTAGTATTTTAATTAACTTCTAAGGTTTACTCATTTGGTATTTTTAGTGTAACACCATGGGTCTGTTCCAGAACCCCTGGAGGATTACAATAATGTTGGGGGTGGGGACAGTGTTACTCACTTCCATAATTTTTCTGTGTGAATATTACTGTGTAATTCCAGGTCACTCCCGCTGCCAACATCAACAACCAAGGGTCAAACGCAGCGACCCTAAACTCATGGCCTGGTCTCAAGTGAATGAGGTGGATCATCTGGCGTTGAATCTCTCTCATAGTTTTCAAATGAACAGCTGGTACCGTTATGCTCAGTTTTTGGCCAGAAGCCGTCACAACGCTGAATGTTATGTGTGTACCAAAATCCCAGTTTCAGCCTCACATCTGACCTTACGTGTTAAACCCATCGAACGCAGATTGTCTTTCTGCTTTCTGCAATACAGTTCAAGAGGTTATGTGAAAGATCCACATCGTTGTAAAACTCGCAGGTACTCCCTGATACAATCATCTCAGGTAGTGGTGTTGAGTCAATTTGTAGAATGGACCCCAGAAGAACAATTTCCTATTTGTGTCTACCGCCACCTGTAGGACGCTTCTCAGAAGGCAGTGGGCACACTGCCTCCTGACAAGTGTCAAGCTGTATATCATTCTAGGAATCATCATGTTGGGTAATGACAGTAATGGAACGTATCCTGTCGAGGATCTAGCCTGGCTGTGTGGCCATGCTGTACTGCTGACATTACCAGCCAACTGGACAGGACTGTGTGCACCGGTTGCCGTGACAGATGACTCATTCATGGCTTCCTTAAGCAATGGCTCTCATTATGTAAGACACAGAAGAGCTATTGACATCAAACCTCATGATTCTCTGTGGGGCACAGATGTGCCCCAGAAGTTTAAGCACTGGACAACTGGTGAAAAGGTCATGCTTTCACTGTTCCCTTGGGTTGGTGTGGGTTCACTTCTCTTAAGGGTAGAAACTTTAGACTATCGCTTTGGAATCTTCCTAAATGCTACTGTTAGAGCTTTAGAGGGCGTCTCTGCTGAATTGACTGCCCTGCGTATTATGGTTTTGCAGCATAGATTGATTTTGGATTTGTTAACAGCATCTCAGGGTGGGATTTGCTCGATTATTGGCAAAGACACCTGTTGCACCTATGTCCCAGATGAGACCGGACACGACCCCCAGGCCAGGGTGACCAACGCCTTGAACCAACTTAATGCGCTGTAGAAGGCTAAGAGTGAGGATCCTTCTCCAGGATCGTGGAAGTTTCTGTCTTGGTTCACAAGCGGTTCTTGGAGTCAGATTGTGCTAAAGATTTTGGCCCCTGTGACTGCTATTCTTATTATTTTTTGTGTTTTGATGATTGTTATTATACCTTGTACTAGAATGATCGTTCGTAGAATGATTCAGGTTGAGACTGAAACCGCTAATGTTATGACGCTTGTAATGAGGATAATATGCGTCTGATATTATCCATAATTTAAACGGATTCTTTCATTTTTCTGGACTAGGTCATATCGTGCTTTGTGGAGTAAATGTGGACAGAGACGTGTTTAAATTTCTGACTCACCAACAACAGTGGGTCGTTTATTTTAAACAATTTAAAAACACATCACACATTTACATTAATTGGCAGATTGATTACAATTAACACAGCTTAATTAATGAGCTTTACAATGAGAAATCATACGGCCATGATTTCTCACTTGCAACTGAAATACAACAGACATTTCTGAAAATATCTGGATTAATTACTGGCAGATAGAAGAGTTTTAAAGATGGAGAAATGAAGTTTAAATGGAGAAAATGGATGAGGAAAAAGTGTCTGTTTAACCAGAACAGCACGCTCCTTTAGACGCAGCTTAAACCACGGTACACTCGCAGTTGAAGATCGACTCTTTTACCTTTGCAGACGATAGTTTCAGCTTCGGCGTAGAGTTCCCTTTCAACGCTTTTCAGCGTCTCCGTAAGAACAGCTGTGACCTCAGGAGTCGTGAGATCATCACAGAACAAACTTCCTCATTGTTCAGAGCGTTCGTCGGTTAGAGCCACAGCGAGACGTCGTGGCATCGACGGACTCTTGTCACTCCATTAGAAATTGCTCGGAACTTCTGTTCCTCTGAACTTCTCTCGTTCAGGAACTTCTCGTTCGAGGTTCTCCCTGGAACTCTGGTTCTCTCTGGAACTCTTGTTCTCCTTGGAACTAGGAAGTGTCGACCCTTTTAAAGAGGTCACTTCCGGTTCCTTCTGGGAACTTCCTGATTGGTTGAATGAACCAACCGGGGTGTGGTTTTAGTGACGTCAGAGGGTCACTACATGTCAAGGAGACAGAGTAGATGTTTTAAGAACAGATAGAAAGATGTTTTGAAGAAACAGAGACATTTAGGAGCCAGTCTCCTTCTATCTATCTGAGAGTTAAACATGACATTTCGTTCCGATAAACATGTTTTTGACCGTTCTCTGACTTTTGACCGACATCACTCCTTCTCATTTCAGACAGAAGATCAAAAAATGAATAATTACTCTGTAACAGACATTAACTTGATTTCTACTTTGAATGAGGATTAAAAATCATTAATACTGTTTCACAGTTGATTTAAAATAAGTAGTTCACTTCAACATTTAAAAATGATTTGAACTAAACACACTTTGATTATCAAGATATTGTAAAATAGTAATGATAATAAAAAAGAGAGTGTTCTTTCAATTGATTAGTGCAGGACACACTTAGAAAGTCTCTGGATGAGCTTAATTTGTGTTTCTGGACTCAAATCAATGAAATAACAGTTCCTGTCCCAGGAAGGCCCTCAGGGTCAGGTTTTGACCTGAGGCTTAGTTCACTACACGCTGATGCAGAACTCAGGTGACCCCTCCGCAGAGGATCAGAGCCACCTGGAGTGGGCAGAATCAAAATATCTGTAAAATCAAATCATACGTGGTATGGTCTCCCATAAATATGGGGCGACCAAAAGAGGGTGTGTTGGATTTGATATCTTTTATATCTTTTGACAAGCCTTGACATTTCTTTGATGATGTGAAATAATGCATTTTCTACAAGGTATGTGCGTGTATAATCATATACTAATTGCTCCATGTTATATATAATCTTACAAGTGCTAAGTATAATCATACACTAATTACTTCATGTTATATATAATCTTACAAGTGCTAAGTATAATCATACAAGTTCACATTTGATATAACTCTGAGGGAAACAGAGACAGGTAAGATATTTATTCGTGCAGCAGGAAACGATCCTTCTTTGTTCATCTGAGCAGAGCAGCTGAGAGTGAGGGCCCAGCAATGTGACACACGGCGTACACATTGATTAAACATAAATAATGCTAAAACAAAACATTCATATACTTTATACTTAACACAGATTGAGTATTTATGCTCTCACATTAATAATAGTTCAGACACACAGAAAACGTGTTTTAAAGCTTTACACAGATGAGAGCCAGAGTAAGTGTCCTGCGTTACAAAACAAAGTTCGTAAATCAACCCTTATCAGTAGAAGAATGGGCGAGGCCGTCTGGGGCTTTCGGAGTAACCCTGGAGATAAAATCTGCTCCTGAGTGGCTGAACAGGGTGTCACTCGGACTATCAAGAGATTTTCACATCAAATCACAAGTCTGTCTGAACCCGAAAGGGCGGGACATGACAAACCTATAAATCTCGCTCAGACACAGAGTTTGGTTGAACAAACAGGAGGCTGATTGACCAGGCAAGGTTCGCTCTGACTTGTTCCTCAGACTACACTCTGATTACATGTAATATCTGCATACATTAACTTTGTCTCAATTAAATCTTTTATACTAAGGTGAAGTGCTCCTGAAATTCTGTGCTCGGGTCATTTGAACACCCCAAAATCCTTCATTATGTACCACAGCGCTTTAAGGTTGCTGTAATTAAACCTTTACTTAAGAAGTCTGACCTTGATTCAGATATTCTGGCCAACTATAGACCTATATCTAATCTAACTTTCATCTCAAAAATTCTAGAGAAAATAATTGCAGGTCAGTTGCATGAACATCTACAAAGAAATAATCTGTTTGAAGAGTTTCAGTCAGGGTTTAGAGCTCATCATAGCACAGAAACAGCACTAGTAAAAGTCACTAATGATATTCTCACGGCCTCAGACAATGGACTTGTGTC